TTCAGCTCTTTGGCTGGGGAAGATTTACCCATGTTCGCTGCTAATAAGATGACTTGCTTTACAATATTTGTCTTTTGTACTCTCTCTTGTTTTTTTTTTCCATTGATCTAATAAATTTCTGTCACCATTTATAAATAAAAAAAAAGTAGCAGCCAAAAAAATAAATTGGGCCTACATCTGCCACATCATCATGTATCGGCATGAGTAACAGATGACTTTATTTGAGTAAAGGGGTTTTTAGCAGAGGTTTTCAGAAGTTGGTCTAGTAATATAAGAAGACTCAAAACTTGGTCCCCTGTTTGTAAGTGGGGGTTGTCCTCCTTGCTCATAAAAAAGAAGAAGAGCTTTTCACGAATAAAAAGGTCCAGGAAAGCGAAGGAAGAAAGTAATACATGGGCCCAACCCAACTGCCCCAATCCTAGTAGTAGTGAAGTGAGAAGGCTCATCTCCAACAATTGCGTATGAGAGAGAGAGAGAGTGTGTGTGGTGAATGGAAACGTCTTCTTCCGCCTGCTAACTCTATAACCGCCTACTAGTCTCATCACATCAGTCTAGGATCTCCATCATCTCCTTCATCTCCTCTCCTCCAACCAATTTGTTTAATTTCAGTTACAATTACATTACATACCAGTCAGTCAGTCAGTTTAGTTTCTCACTCAATTATTTTGTCAATTTTCTTTTTGTATATTATTTTATTATTATAAACTCCAACAAGGCTGTATATCCTTGAATCTTGAATGAATGTTGATGGTGTCTTCCCTTCTGCCTTTGACCAAATAGATAGACAAAGCAAAGACATCTGCTCTGCTCGTATTTTTACTTGGAAAGACAACAACGAAGAAGAAAAGAGATCAGATATCAGAAGAGATGGGTGCGACTAAGGCAGCTGTTGGAGACACTGTGCTCACCTTCTTGTGGATTTCCTGCGCATCGACGCTTGGACTAGCCACCAGCTTCATCGCAAATGCCGTTGGGGTTCAGGACCTTTCATGGCCGCCTCTCTTCATCACCACCGCCCTTGTCTTCGTCCTTGTATTTGTCTTCACCT